GAATTTGTTCACAACCCATTCTAGTTGTCTGTTAACCATACACTTCGTAATTTCATTACTACGTTCCTGGTATAATACCTTAAGTTCGATCTTTATGCACGTGTTCTCACTGGTGATATGCATATGAACATCTTTTCTGATTAATCATGTTGTGCATCATAAACAATGTCGAAAAAGTCTTCGAGAAAAAAAGTTAAAAGTAAGTTATATTGTTTATGAAGAGCTCATATAATTAATAAAAAACTTTTTTCATAGGGGACATTCCACCTACTATTGTTGGCACATCTGGTGCATCGACACAAAGCAGAAATGTCACAGAAATTGTTGAAAATGCCCCTAGCTTGCAAAAGGAACAATCAATATCCAGTGGTAAAGTAAATTTATTACAGGCAATTTTTCGTGAATTAGTCATTAATTGCTATCCGAAAAAAAATAGGTTTCGGGAACCTTCAGTTAGATTTCAAAATTTGGGTAAAATACAGTGACAGCCAGCCAGTTCGGATTCTTTTTGAAGGAGAGATTGTGGACGACTTGAAAGAAGCGGTCAAGAAGAAACTGTCACCTGACTTAGACGATGTGGCCCTTAACCGTATTACTATAAGAAGATACGGTGAAGAAGACGACTTGCGTCCCGGGTTAGTGGTGGATGAAAGTTTTATAAATGATGATCAAACACCTTTACAAGTTGTTGTAAATGCACCTAGTATGTATTCAAGTTTATTGAATAAGAGTGTGATTAATAGGCTAAAATAATTTTATGTTTTTGCGACATCAACTAACTATGGCTTTTTATAAGCGACATTAAAACGTAAACATGAAGAGCCAGGAGATTTAGAGAAGATTGTGGAAATTGCAGTAGAGAAAGCATTGTCTCGACAAAAATCTCCTGAGATGATCCAAGCATCAAGTCTTTCAGAGTCGAAAGCAAGAAAGATAATTGAATATTACGGATTAAAATCTTTTAAAGTATGTATACACCTCTTATCCTGTATTATTAATTATTTTATTACTTATTATATATCCATTATTAGATATCAGCGGAAGACTTTGATCCTATTGAACCCATATCATGCCCACCATTCTTATGGGACGCTGAAATTAGCAAAGATCGCCAAATGTCCGAAGTTGAGAAATGGTTTAAGAAAGCATTGGATTTACCAAGAGGTTTTCACATAAAGGATGTCTATACACAAAATTATCAAAGAAATTTACAAACTGCTAACACCATTTTAACGGGTGGCACTGATATTTCTATTGGACCAAGTGCTACATCCTGTATTTGGATTGAAACTAAGAAAAATAAAGAAAGTTTTAAATTGGGCCAAGCCATCGGAGAATTATTAATAATGGATAATGAGCATGCCCCAAGACCTATGTCTGTCTTAACCGACTGCAATGACAATTGGATTATTTTCTTTTTTTTGGAGACAGAAAACCAGAAACATTATTTAGCATCATCTACAATTAATGATCGCAGTATTGCTCTGGCAATAATTAAACAATTCGCACTTGTTGAAGGAAGTACTTATCTTGAGATACTTGGAAAAAGTATTACATATCAAACAAATTTACCCGAACCACTTAAAAAGAGAGCAAAGTTTCTTCCACCTATACCCGAAGAGGATGATGAAAGAATGAGCGACATAATTGATGATATGACGGAAAAAGAATTACGTAACATGACAATGCGCAAGAGACTAAGATTAGCGAAAAGTATCGTTAGAATAGAGGAACAACCAATTATAGATCAACTTATTGGACAATTTAGTGACGATTATGAATCATCAATGTACGTGTAGCATAAATATTTGCTATAGATAATTAATATCTGTAAATTTTTTTATCATGCGAAGTTTCTTTACTCTCCATTCGTACTTTCATTGTAAAGAAAAATAAAGTTATGAGCTTTTTTCACATGTTTTGTGTAGTAATGGTCCAGTATTTATGAATCTCGATTTGTGTGATCTGCTTGTTAATATTTTATTTCAAATGGTTGTGGTGCTTACTGTAATTTTTTGAATCAATCAATCAGATTTGATATTAGCCGAAATCTTTAATTTTTTTAATAATTGTGGATGATTTTTGTTAGTATTGCAAAATTTTTGAATTTGATTCTTGGGCCATGAACTTTGCTAAAAACGAACTTTACTAATTGGTTTTTTATCCGCTTTATGAAAGTAAATAAAGTTAACGAAAATTTTTTTTACCTTTATATATCATAAAATTCTGGTATGATGGAGATGCAGATTATGCACTGCTAAACAGATGAAGCTATTTTAGTGCAATTTAATTGAAGACATTCAAATATTTATTGCGCAACATGCTCCCAGCGACACCCTCCAGCATGAGCTCGAAGTCCTCGACATGCTAGCCCGATATTATTAATTCCAGTAACACGTCGCGCTTCAGCTATAGACGGAAATTCTCGAAAAGATCCATTTTTAAAAATCTGCCTGACAGCACGTTTGCATTGAAGTCCAAGACGTACAGCATGTTGCATATTCTCTTTATGTGTACATCATTCGAGATTTGAAGCTCTGTTATTAGTAGGATCCCCATCAACATGATTCACGTATTCTTTGCCCTTTTCTTTCGGGCAAAATGCCAATGCAACCAGGCGATGAACACGATATTTTTCTCGAGCGACTCTAAAATATCCTGCATCCAAAAATCCTTTTGTGATTAAACCGTTGGGTAACCGGACCCTCCCTAAAAATGAAACTTTGAATTTTCGGGAATTAATCTCTATTTCTCTCCACTCTTCATTTGTATCTCGTTCTATATAATCCTCATAATACATCCAACGCCATCCGCTACAACATCGAGAAATATTACTCATTACTATACTAAGTGTATTTGATGCAAGAGTGATAGAATCTCAAATTTGAACGACATTTCCATCCAAAGACATTTGCACAACTTTTCTGGATCTGCTTTTATTAGGATTCCGAAATACTGTACGTTCGGCATTTTCTTTAGAAGTTACCCATTCCAAATTAACAGCTCGATTGTCATGCTTAATACCGTTGATGTGATTAACATAGGGCTTATTTTTTGTATTGGGAATAAATGCTTGTGCGACTAAAATATGAACCGCAATACTAGTACGAATGCTATTAACATTAAAATTTATTCGTATGTAACCTTTTCTTTTGCAGGCATTTAGCTTAAAAACCTTATCTTTTTTGTTCTTGATGCGCCCAAGATTAGACACTAGTAAATCTGAAGTGGTACCGGCAACCAAACTTCCATTATAAGATCTGTTATTTATTGTCGTACCTACTTTTAAATTTAGATTGCAGGTAAGTCTTTAGCAGACAATTGGTAAATCAATCGGTTTCCGGTCACATTATCGCTCCTCGTAAAATAGCAGGCAATTGGCAAATCAATCTGTTTTCCAGTCACATTATCGCTCCTCGTATAACTATATTACTAGAAATATTCCTGGGTATATTTTCATAAAAAAAAACAATAGGCACTTCGTGTCTTTAATCCCCCAGCATTAAAAAAGTCAATGTGTTGTCTACTTAAGATCTGGATTCCGAAATATTATTAATACGCTATTGAGTTTAATACGCTCTCCTATCTGCAACCATATATATACCCAAAATTTTTTTTTTATTACGGGGAGAATAAACCACCGAATTAAATTGGTCTGGCCCAAATATTGAGGTTAGAAGGCAGAAAAAAACAGAACGAGCTCGGAAAAGATATTATTTTTTTTGATGCTATCGGTGAGATAGAGTCATCTCGATTATGTAATATATAATTACGAAAAATCAGTGACCGTTTTACTGCGTCACATTACTGCGCCTGGACACGCGTGTCCAGTTTTTCTAAATTAATAAAGTACAAGCATAATTTGTAATATCGATTTTTCTGAAATAAATTATATATATATCGATATAGGACGTTTTGACCTTACGGTGCTTATCATTATTGTTATATTTTTGTGAAAACTCCATAAATCTGCAACATGATCGACAAAATCTAGGCAGACCGAATAATCTCCGGTTATAAATACCGTGAATATACAACATTTAGGACAAACACGGAATATAAAACACGGATTAACTTTTTTTATAGGGTAATAGTGATAAGAACATTAAATTTGGCCCAGTAAATCACGAAAAATTTATATTATACATTTATGACTATAAAATCTTTTTTATAAAGAAAATTTTATAATCATTAAATGTAAAATACAAATATCTCATGATTTACTATGCCAAATTTAATGATTTTACTACCATTGGAATCTTAAGAATGCCCTCGGCAACTTTAATTAGAAACTAAGACCAGTTTACTTAGTAAAACACCAAGATCGGATTGTATAAATAATGATCTCTTTGTTATCAACACCTTATAGATATCAATCTCATAGATTTCAATACAATAATTCAACCCAAATGGGTTGATATTAACATAGGGTCAACTGTATAAACTGTTAATTTTAAATATATAACGTTTTCATATATTTTAAAAAGGTTACTAGCTAATTAATTGGTCGGTCGGTCGGTCGGTCATTAAGTACTATTTATAACCATGGTCGGTCATTGAGCAATAACCGGCGGTTATTGACCGTGACCGACCATGACCTAGTCATGAATAAAGGAACAACCAATGATTATGAGGTTTCATCATTGATCACAACTTATTTTGGATACGATCTACTAAAATGTGGTAAAAAAAAGATTAAAGAAAGGTAACAAAAAAATACAACCAAAATTTAAACTAACAAAATAATAACGATAAACAATAAATTAACCATTTTATTATTTCAAATAACTCAGTAAACGTAATATTTATTGTGGTTTTGCTAAGTATTTGGAATATTCCATTGCCTTTTAAAATGATTATAATCCTCCAATTTATGCAATAGCAAATTTTTATTAATGATATCAAGCCATTTGTTACTATTTGAGTTCATTATGTTTCTTCAATAATTTTGTAGCTGCGTCATGGATTCAGAATTATAAAAACCTTTTACTCAAATAAATAATCAGAGTTATAATCTTTCGGAAGAGCATTAAAAATAAAATCTACAAGGTTTTCTGGCAATTGCATTTTTTCGATTAATTTTTATAATTTTACTTCGATTTTCATTCTTTTTTCGTTTATTATTTAGTGGAAATTTGGTTACGGCAGTCAACGCATATTTTTATAATAGTGTGTTTATTGGATTTTATACTTTTAACGATCGCTTTTCATTTTGAAGAATCGGAGAAAAAAATTACTAAATCAATTGTGTTAATATGTTTAATTAATATATATATTATACGACAGGATGAAACCCGCGCAGAAATACGTAGTTACATTATTGATGCAAATCCTATCTAAAATAGTAACTAGCTCTAATTAAGTATTATGAATTGACAATATCACATGATTTCGAAACTTTTTTTGGTGGCGGTCGACACTTCATTTTAATCATAGCTAGAGCACTTATTTTCAAGATACTGACGTAACACACTAATGATTTTATAGTAATCGTTGTTTAAGCAACCATGTTTTTCTAATTCTGACTCATCTGCTGGTTTAAAATTTATCTTTTTTGCAAAATCTTCGTGCAGCATTTCAAAAAACCAACACATAATTTCATTAAAATTAGTCATGTAATGGGGTCCGAATTTCCAGTCTTTGAAGTCAGTGGATTTTGCATCGCTCCATGCTTTTTGGGTTCCTTTATAATGCATCTGTTTATTATCCGGACGGTTATGACATGCCGTCACAATTAATTTACCCGTGCGCATATATTGTGTACCCTTAAGGCCTGCTGGTTGATGGCTAGAATGATGTATTTGTGTTTCGTCACTATTTTCATCATGGCCTCTTTCTCCCCAACACAAAGCACCACACCAGAAACATGGTTTTGTGCATCCAAGCCTTTTCTTTATCAATTCATCATCAGATAGATTTGGTAGTGATTCCTCTTCTAATTGATAATGGCTCTTCCTTTTAGTATTGAACTCTTTTATGATAGCTTCACGGAATAAGTTAAAATTTTCAGTAATTAAATTATCTTTAATATTCAATTGGTAGTCAATACCATTAACTTGTGTCATATATTTGTTTACAAACTCTTTGATATCTTTATAACTTTTATAATTTCGAATTTTTTGATAAACACAATCAAACTCCGTATTAAAAGTTTCTTTATATTTTCGTCCTTTCTCTTTTCTTGTATAGTTATTAACATTACTTTTAAAACATTCTTCAATTCTTTCTTGAGGTTTTAAAAGGTGCTGTATTGCCTTTTCTTTGTTGCCTTTATGAATTTGTTCAGCAAGTTCAAGAAAATATTTAAGTCTAATTGTTTCAGAACTTTTTATCCAAGGTATGTTAAGTACATCATCTCTACGATCTCGATTTTCTGCATCTACCGCTTTTTTATGAATAGCTCTCAATAAATAAGCCCCAGTCAAATGACCTTTATATATATGTGAATGACCATATTGAAGACGAAGCTTAATGATTTCTATATATTCATCTTTCCTTTGGTCAAGCACGCCAAGTGGTGTATTATTCTTATCCCATTTATATTGAATTCCTACCATTCCTTCTCTAAAATTTAATAACATGTATACGTGAACATTCATTTCAAAATTAGGATCAAATTTTACATTAAATTTAGTTGAAAGACCATTCAATTTGTTTTCTGTTTTGTCTTTAAGATTACGTACAACTCTAGGATTAAACCTTTTAACATCAAATAAAATTTGTTCTACCAAAATATCAATTTCTTCTTTAAGCCTTTCCTCAAGAAAATCAGTCGAACTAACATTACGTATTGCATTGATCTTAGATAATTCTGGAATAATTCTATTTTCGTAATTTTTTAAAAAGTCAGATGTCCACATAGTTCCATATTCTTCATGAACTATGTTATCTATCTCTTCCTTTATAAGGTCTTCATTTTCTACTGATACCATATCACGTAATTGTTCCCATATTTTATTTGCTTTTTCTTCAAGTTTCTTTTCATCAGGCAATTTTTCCCACATGCTTAGGACTTCTTCCAGTATCCTGTCAATAAATACAGAAAACCTATTTCGTATTAAAATTCCATCAAGCATATTTTCAAGCTTTGTGGATATAAATTTACGACGAGAGCTAATATAATTAATGATTGTTTGATTAGCCTCTTCTTTACACTTCTCATCATTCTTTTTTTCAAGATATTTATCTAATTTATCTCTCTCTTCATTTACTTTTTTACACTCTTCACAATCTACAAAATTTTCAAGCTCTAGAATGTTGTTTAACTTTTTAATCAATTCTTCATATTTTGTATTAATTGAATTCACGTTTGAATCTTTATTTGAAAGCCATTCATAAACAATTGATCGAATTTCATTTTCGATCAATTCCTTATGTTTTAAAAATGCCGTGTCGATAAATCCTTTCAAATTTGCAATTTGATTTCCGAACTTAATAAAATCGTATATTTCTTCAATTTCTTCGAAAGAGATGCTTGAAGAACTTTCGCATGAAACTGCTTCCCAATAACCTTTAATTAGTGAAAACCAATCTAAAAACCTTTTTTTACTTTGTGAATTATTGCAGAGTTCAATAATAGAATTGTATAAATCAACAACATCATTATGATATTGCTTTGATGGTGAAGAATAAGAAGTTATACCCTCTTTAAATGGTGCAAATAATTTGAGAAGCTTTTTATCCTTTGCCTTACTTATATATTCAAAGTTACGTGCTCTTATTTTACTATCTTTTTTTTTAACTGTTTCTAAAACTTCTTGAAGAATTGCATGAAATTCATGTTCTAAATCTATTAACTTTGTCATATTTTTTTCTTCAACATGTTGCACCATAAGTATGTCAGGGAACGTGTCAAGACGTGTCATTGTCCCAATAGTTATCTTCAAGATTTTATTTAACTCTGACTCTCCAAGTATGTTAATAATTGTCAAATGGCTTATTCGCATTACAAAAGTTGCTATTATTTGATCCTTTAGTTTGGTTTCTAGTTCTCCCATTTTTCCTGATTTACCAAGTCCTTCAGTGTCAATCAAAATAAAAGCATCAACATCAAGTTGATTAGACAAGTCCTTCTCCAAAAATAAGAATTGCATAAAAATTCCCTTAGTACAGCGTCCAGCAGAGACATCAAATTTACTTGCAAAAAGTGTATTTAAAAGAGTGGACTTTCCAGAAGATTGTAATCCAAGTATACTGATTACAAAAATCCTAAGTTTGGTGAATTTTCTATTAATACAATTACAGACGGCTAAGAACCATGCTTCAGATATAGTTGCAGAATCACCATCAACCAATTCTATAGTGTGACCACTAATTAACAGCTCTGCATAATATTCTGGTAATTTCGAAATATTTTCTTTAGTTAGACCATTATCAGAAGTAATTTTGTTTGGATCAGAAATAAATATTTTATACATTTGCCCTAATTCACGAATGAAATGTTTTATTCTCAAGCTTTTATTATCAACCTCTTCAATGTTCGCAATAGTTAATTCTTTTCTTTTTGATATAGCATCATTTCGAACTTTTGATAATTCTAATGTAGAAAGCCTAGATATCTCTTTTTCAAGATGCGCCAGAGCTCTTCTTCTTATTCTAATTGGTAGAACCATAATTGAATTGAATAATTGCATTAATTCTCGCAATTCTGGTGTACGTTCCCAAAATTGTATACAATCAGATCCACCTTGTTTTTTTTGAAGTTGCATAATCTTTAATTTAACATGACGACAAGTTTTTTCCTTAATAAAATTTATAATTTCCTGAGATTCAACACACTCAATTTTTTCATAAAATTGAAGGGTCTTCCCAATTTCTAAAGTACTAATTGAAAATTTACCAAGTTCTGCAGGATAAACGGGACCGGAATATAAGACATCTTTAAACATTTTACAAGCTTCTTTTATTGTTTCATTACTCGTCAAAGAATTTGTATCAATTATGTAATTATCTATACTGCTCTCGGAATTAACATGAATGTATATAACCTTTTTCGAACCAATTAAGTTCCTAAACTCAACCTTTTGATCTTCATTATGTCCAGGCATTAAGAAAACCAAGAAACAAGAAGGTAATTGCTTTAGAAATTCAATTTGGTCTAGATAATCCAATGCATCACCATGTAAATTTGCAAGCAATACAATCTCATTTCTCCCTTCTTTATAGTAACTTTTAAAAACATTATTCCATAGATCAGGACCACAAGTCTTTTCAGTCAGCCAAACAAACTCAATACTTCCATTGATCATATGCGAAATTCCATAATTGGCTCTTGGCTCAGAAGATGATGTGAACATATATTTTGAAGCCATCAACTGATTAAGTATGGTACTTTTGCCTTGAGGGTTCATTCCAATCCGAACTGCAACAATCATTTTATAAGAATCTTCAAAAAGATGATTTTTTATAATTGATCCATCGCTTATACGCCATTTGATAGCTGGTCCGGTATATAAAGGAAGCATTACTTTAAACTTCTCAGCGTTATTTAAATCAGGTATCAATAAAGGAAATGCTATTGGGAATTGAGATATAATTTGAAAAATATTTTGAATAACAGTGGAATCGGCAGAGGCAAATAAAGTAGCAAGGCAATCAAATCTAGATAATCTATTCTTTTTTATTAACTTTTTGCTTTCATCCTTTGATTCATCATCAGAAGATTCATCATCTTCATTATTTTCATCATTGACTAAATTCGCAAAGTTTTCTGCCAAAAGAATATAAGCACCCCACATTTTAATTTTTTGTCGAATATATGGAAGAGCTGCTGCCACATTTCTATAAATTTTATTAGATGAAAATTTTGGTTGAGGAATAAGTTTACTAAGCATAAAATAATGTTGGGGTTCGATTAATGGTAATTTTTCACCCAAAATTGTATCCCATTTTTTATCTATCTTCAAAACCTTATTCTCTTTTGGTGGAAATGGTGGTGATGGTGGGATTTGAGATAGAATGGGTAGTTGGAATTTTAATTGTAATTCCATTTGTGCTTTATGATTTCCACCATATGCAGATTTCTGAAGCCATTTGAATGCTTTTTTTATGTTTGTTTTGACGCCAATTCCGCCTAGATAATAAACACCAAGTTGATACTGTCCATTTATATTTCCACCCCGAGCAGATTTTTTATACCACTGAAATGCTTTCGCAATATCTTTTCTGACCCCAACTCCGTTTTGATAGCAAACTCCAATATAATACTGTCTATTTATATTTCCATTATGTGCAGATTTTTCGTACCAGTAAAGCCCTTTCTGATCATCTTTTTTGACTCCGATTCCGTTTTGATAACAAAATCCAAGTTTGTGCTGTCCATTTAAATTTCCAGCTTGTGCAGATTTTTCGTACCAGTAAAATGCTGTCGTATAATCTTTTTCGACTCCAATTCCTTTTTCATAACAAACTCCAATGTGGTATTGTCCATTTATATCTCCACCTTGCGCAGATTTTGTGTACCACCGAAATGCTTGCTGCGCATCTTTTTCGACACCAATTCCAGTTTGATAACAAACCCCAAGATTGCATTGTCCATTTGCATCTCCACCTTGCGCAGATTTTTTATACCAATTAAATGCTTTTGTATCATCTTTTTCGACACCAATTCCGTTCTGATAACAAAGTCCAAGATTATTTTGCCCTAAAGAATTTCTACCTAGTACAGATTTCTTTGCCCATTGAAAAGCTTTTTCATTATCTTGATCTACTCTGATTCCAAACAGAAAACCCAAAGCAATCAATCCTTGTCCTAAATGACTTCCATTATTAGCAGATTCAAGGAGGAATTGGAATGTATCTTCGTTTATATCGCATACTCCCTGAAACTGGTTTCTTAGAATAACTAGTGCTACACGATTCCCATCTTCAGCAGATTTCATGTACCATTGAAATGATTCTAATTGGTCTTTTTGAGTGCCGATTCCATCGCGATAACAGTGTCCAAGATTACATTGTCCTAAATGGTTGCCTCCTTCAGCAGATTTTTTAAACCAATAAAATGCCTTTTGCACATCTTTCTTTGTGCCTAGTCCATCTTTGTAGCATATTCCAAGATTATTTTGATCCCAATGATTTCCTAATTTCGAGTATGAATCAAATTTTAAAGATTTTAAAGAGTCCTGGAAAATTTGGTTACAAAATCGCCATTATGATTTCTTTCGAAAAATTGTCAAAATAACTATGCTAAAATATAAAAGAATAGAGCATACTTACATTTTCTATCAAATGGTTTATAAATAAAATAAAGTATTAAGTACTAACGTACACGTAAATTTGTAAATATAGATTTGAATAATTAATATATACATACGGATCGAAATTTGTTCATTTTCCCATATTATTATTCGATTACGACCATATTCTTTGGCCTTTTTACAAGCTTCTTCGGCATGATTCAATAAGTCCTTAGGCTTTTTCGCCAAAGAATTTACTCCAGAAACACCAATACTAAACGTAATTGACGACAGGTCTTTAAAAATAAATGGAGTAGTTTCAATTAAAGAACGAATTTCCTTAGCAGTTCCATAGGCCGACTCTAAATTTGTATTAATGAGAAGAATGGCAAATTTCTCTCTCCC